CAGTGGGCAGGCGTGGGCCGTGGCCGGCGGTGCTTTGAGCAGCAAGGCCCGATTTCTTGTGTGGTGATTTGATGAGGAGTGGGGATGAATTCCTGCGACGAACGGGGTCGCCGATGGGATAGCCGGGTTTGGCGACGGGGGGACCCAGTACTGTGGGCTTGGTTTCGTTCGTCCTTTCGTTCGTTCGTCCGTCCGTCCTTGCTCTCTCTCCCCCTCGGTTGACTTACCTGGCGGCTGCGTCGGTGATGGCTGCTTTGCGCTGTCACTGTTGGCTGACCCCGGGTCAGCATAGGAAGAAGACGGCGGGAAAAAGACGACGGCGAGGGACAAGACGGGACGACAAGCCTCCAAAGTAGGCAAGTACGTAAACGAGCATAAGGTAGGTAAGGTACCGAAAAGCACTCTGGGTCAGCTCGGCTGGCCTGTCTTCTGTAGGCAGGTACGTAGCAAAAGCAGGCAGGCAGGCGCACAGCGCGACGTGACAACAAGTGCTACGCCCAGCTGTCTAGAGCTGCTCCAGGATGGTCATGGCCAGTCTTGGCAGGGTAGGGGACTGCCAGGCAAGGTAGCCACACTTGGGAAAATACATGTACACACGCCGGTGCCTCAGGGTTGCATGCAAGTGCTTTGTATCGATCGTGGAGACCTGCCCATGTCCCTGGCTCGTCTAACCCGACAACGCCAGTCGGGTTAGGTCAGATGTACGTCGTAATATTAGCAAAGAAACTGTCTTGATTCCGGGGATTGGCAATGGCTATGGAGTAAAAATGGCGGGCGGTTATCCGCCGCTGCCAGATGAACAGGGGGTTCCTCAGGGTTGCCAGGACTGTGTAGTTTGCCGCCATTTGAGGGGGAGTCCGGAGGTGGAGAAAAGATGGGTGGGGTCTCTAGTAGATGCCAAGGAGCCTTGGTTCATGAGGAAGAATCGCTGACGGTTGGCGCGGATGGCTTGCGATCGCCCTGCTGCTTTTCCGCTGCTCGTTATTCGTTCACATTCAACATCAGCCGCCTGACGAGGCGCTGGGGCTCGGTTCACGGGATGTTCGTGTGTCTGGACACCCTGGTTTTCTTGACTTGTCGTGTCCACCGGAAACGCGGGCAGATGGGGGAATTGTATCACAGGCAGGCAGCTGGATGGGGAAACAGGAGCAGGTCCGTCAGGCCGGGGGAGGGGGGTTTAACGTAGGGAATATGATACACCCACAGGTCAGCAGGACGTGGGATGGATGATTGATGCTCCAAGTCCGCCGAAGCATGTGCTGAGCTCGTAGCACCAGTCACACCAACAGCAAAGTCATAAACCGTGGGTGCAGGGTGAACGAAAGTGCTTCCCGACCTGCCATGTCTCTTTTGTTCATGATGCCAGCCATGTCAGACAGCCCACGCTACCCTACGAAGGTGGCGCCAGACGTGGGAGGTTCCAGATATGCCCAGCTTTCTGCCCACTTGCCCACCTCCCAACACGAATGAGCATGGACAATCTGGAGGGGCGGAGGCGAGGGGCGGAGTGGGAGTATGGGTGGGGGTCGCGCTCTCCCTCTCTCTCTCTCTTTCTCTTTCTCGCACGCAACCGCCTGGCCGATGCGGCCCCCGTTCTGTTTTCCAGTAGAGTAGGTAGGTGCGTAAATCGATGGGTGCGGTGCAGGTGTGGATCTGGGCGTGGTCGGCTGTAGCTTCTGCCTTTCAGCCTTTCCTACGGCGCCCATCAATCATTTCAGTAACTCATTCGCTTGTCGCTTCTGGCATCCATCCCACTGCCCTCCCACCCCACTCTTTTCCTTTGGCGGCGCTGGCCGACGGGCCTCTTCTCCTCAGGTGCTTTTCTGTTTTGTGTTCAGCCTGCCTGACTACGTCGCTCGTCAACTGTGGTGTGGAGGGGGTCTTGCGAGGTGGCCTAGGGGTCAGGTGTCAGACGTTGTTCGTCTGGGTGACTCGGCGACCAGCAGCCTGGCGAGTGTGTTGAGTGAGGTGACCGTTCAGCGAGGCAGGCAGAAGGTGTCTGCACTGTCGCCGCCCTGTGACGTTGCCGCCACACGGTGTCAATGCGTACTCTGATCAGCCCCTAGGCAAGCAGTTCGTACGGTACGTAGGCACTGGGCTGGGGGTTCCTGGAGCGGCGGGATGGAGACGCAAGTGCCAGCAATGCCTCCTCCCCCCACAGGAAGCAGGAAGGACGACGCGAGTGCGACGTGCGGCTGCCAGATTGCCAGGGACACAATTACAATGACCAACACGCAAACATCCCGTTCTTCCTCTCCATCGGCGCTTTGGCGTGGCTTGCACGATCCGTCGATGGCCAAACATGCCGACGGGACAGGGATGGTAGCAGTTCTTTCGTTGAGACCGCCTTTTCGGTTGCCCTCCCTTCGAGTCACGATGCTCGAGTTGGGTCATTCCCAGAAGAGAATAGGGTTGGTCGTCATTTGCCGCCGGTGGAGGCAGCTTCATCTTGATGTCGCGCTGTCATCATCGCTTGTGTCGCTTCTTCCACACCGTACTGGGACCGAGGAGGGGGGTTCCCCGAATCGTCGCGGCGGATCGAGAAGGGTAGATTGATTGGGGGGCCGAAAGCCGAGGGCATTGAGGAAGGGGTATCCCCCGGTGAAAACCGGGTCCCTCGTCCGCGCCGTCCAGGGGGGGGAGAACTGGGCTGTACGTCCAGCACACACGTACGGCGAAGAAAGGAACTGTCGTGAGTAATG